TAAGAACCATGAGGTGAGGAAAGTACACAATTGTATGCTGCACACTAATACATTGTTGGAGAAGAAGCCACCAAAATTTGCTAGCATCAAAAAGACTATGTAAATTAATGACAATTCTTATAATAATAAATATGATCAATGACTTGCAATGATTTGACATAATAAAAAATATAATTAAATCTGATAAAAGAGAGTAAACTGCTTCTTGGAGTTTGTTAAGAGTTTTTTTTTAAAGATTGATTTTATTGAAAGGCAGAGATATAGAGCAAGACAAACACACACACAAAGACACACACATACACACACATACACACAGATTGATCTTTATTTTCCTGGTTCACTCAGCAATTGGCTGCAACCACCAGAGCTGGGCCAACCTAAACCCAGGAGCCAGGAGTTTCTTCCAGGTCTCCTACGTGGGTAGCAGGGGCCCAAGAACTTGGACCATCTACTGCTTTCCCAGGTACATTAGTAGGGAGCTGAATCCGAAGTAGAGCAGCCAGAACTCAAACTGGCACCCATATAGAATGCCAGCACTACAGGCTGCAGGTTAACCTGCTATGCCACGATGCTGTCTCCTAATGTTAAGAGTTTTAGTTGGACACCACTTTTTGTACATTGGAGGATTGTGCAGAACTGATATAAAAGATTAAGGTTAGTTATCATTATGTAGAAATGAGAAGTCCAAGCAATTCACTTTGCTTTAGAATGCTGTATGCTACTTAACAAATTGTTTTTCTAGCACCTGTATATCTCTTTGTGGATGTTTTGGGGATCCTGTAATGTAAGTACAATTGTGTTGGTTTACTTAGGTCTATGGAGTTTCAATGTGGTCCTGAGTGAATATTGTATTTAAATTAATAGGTGGAAAGAAGTGTGGAAATACTTAAACTGGTCAATATTGCTGTGAGAAAAAAATGGACTGAGGAACCAGTGTAGGTTCTTCTAGTATTCCAGCTTGAATGGAATGCATTTTAAGACATTATCTGGCAATGGAAAATTAAAAACAGCTTTTCATGAACAACTAGACATTGGGGGAAAAATGTTTCAAGAGCATTCATCTAAATGCTTAGAAAGGTGATCCTGGGGCTTGTGTGGTGTAGCAGGTAAAGCCATCACCTATGACACCAACATCTCTTATGGGTGCCGGTTCTAGTCCCAGCTGCTCCACTTCTGATCTAGCTCCCTGCTAATGGCCTGGGAAAAGCAGTGGAAGATGGCCCAAATAGTTGGATCCCTGCCACCCACTTGAGAGACTTGATGAAGTTCGTGGTGCCTGGCTTCAGCCTGGCCCAACACCAGCAGTTGCAGCCATCTGGGGAGTGAACCAGTGGGTAGAAGATCCCCCCACCTCTCTCTCACTATTTCTTTCTCTCTGTAACTATGACTTTCAAAATAAATAAATAGATCTTTAAAAAAAGAAAGACGATCCTAATATACAAAATAAGAGAGTCAGGAATTTGGAATAATAGAGTTGAGTAGTTGGCCTAAAAGGATCCAGATTAATATGTGATGGACTGAGGGGCTGGCGCTGTGGCGCAGTGGGTTAACACCCTGGCCTGAAGCACCGGCATCCCATATGGGTGCCAGTTCAAGACCCAGCTGCTCCACTTCTGATCCAGCTCTCTGCTTTGGCCTGGGAAAGCAGTAAAAGATGGCCCAAGTCCTTGGATCCCTGCACCCATGTGGGAGACCCAGAAGAGGCTCCTGGATCCTGGCTTCAGATTGGTGCAGCACCAGCCAACTGGGGAGTGAGCCAGTGGATGGAAGACCTCTCTCTCTCTGTGCCTCTCCTCTCTCTGTGTAATTCTGACTTTCAAATAAATAAATACATCTTTAAAAAATATATGTGATGCACTGAAAAACAGCTAGATATCAGGAAGAAATACTCATTTTAGCAGTAGTTCTGAAATTGTAATCTGGTGTTCCAGAAAACTTTCCATAGTATCCATTGGATCAAAACTAGTTTTATGATGCTTTAAGTCAGGATTTTCTGCTTTCTCTGTGGTGTATTTGCATTGATAGTATAAAAGCAATGGTCAGCAAAACTGCTGGGCTTTAGCACAATTAAATTAGTGGTGCCAAACTATTCTAGTAATCATTTTGTGGTTTACTTCCATAGCTATGTTTTCTAAAAGCCTAGTTTCATTTGTGAAGTCCTAATGAAACAGTAAACATTTTGGATTTTGTTAATATAAACCCTCAGTTACACATATTTTCTGTTTTATATGTGATGAAATGAGAATGCTCAACCCACATCTTTTATTTGAGAGGTAGAATTACAGGCAGTGAGAGGGAGAGACAGAGAGAAAGGTCCATCCACCATTTTACTCCCCAAATGGCCGCAATAGAGCTGAGCTGATCCAAAGCCAGGAGCCAGGAGCTTCTTCCAGATTTCCCACACATGTGCAGGGGCCCATACACTTGGGCCATCTTCTACTGCTTTCCCAGGCCAGAGCATAGAGCTGGATTGGAATAGGAGTAGCTAGGACTAGAACCAGCACTCATATGGGATGCTGGTGCTGCAGGCAGAGGATTAACCTGTGCCACAGCACTGGCCTCCACTCTTTCAGCTAATATTTTTTGATTGGATAAGTATAGTTTGTATTTTTACAAAATAAGTAAAATATTTTAATGTAATTATGTTTTATGGTTACCTTAATGTGTTAAAGTATTTTAAAATAATTATCAATTTTTATTTGTATAGTCTATTTATACAAATGTTATCCCCAATGACAGAAACTCTCCAGGTTTTCTATTAACTTTTTTAAAGTGTAAAGGGTTTCAGTGGAAAAACTTTGAAAATGAAAGGATTACACATGTATATAAGGAATCATCAGTTTGCAGTTTCATATTGTAGAAGTGATGCTGTGTTTTGTTCTATATTTTTTAAAGATATTTATTTGAAAGGTAGTTCAATATATAGAGAAAGAGCAAGAAACAGAGAGATGTTCCATTGACAGGTTCAATTCCTAAATGACTGCAATAACCAGCCAGGTCTGGGTTGCAATGAAACCAGGAGCTAGGAACTCATCTGGGTCTCCCACATAGGTGGCGAGGGCCCAAAGATTCGCACTATGTTCTGCTGTTTTTCAAGACACATTAGCAGGAATCTGAATTGAAAGTAGGGTGGTAGAACTCAAACTGGCACTCTCATGTGGGATGTTAGTATTGTATGCTCAACCTAACCTGCTGTGCCACTACACTGACTGCTGTATTTTGAATAGGAAGGTATGGAACAAGAACCAGGACTTTCAAAAGTTTGACCTGGGATGTAGAGGAATCAATGAAAGAAGCAAAATTTTCATAAATAGAGGAAATCTGTGTCATGAGATGTGGATGCTGTAGCACGGACAGTGTGAACCTAGAGCAGAAACCATTGCCTGTGGTTAGAAAGAGATGACAGAAGTCTCTGAACCATTGCAGTGGCTCAGATCATCTCGTTTCACCCAATAAGCTATTTCTGCTTGCCTGTCTTCCAGTGTTCCCCAGTGGAATGTGTGCACATTCTGTTAAATCCTCAATATTCCTTATACCCTCAACTTTTTTTCTGAACTATTTTCCTTTTTCCCTTATGTTATCTTTTGACATAGAATTTTTGGTGGAAGAAGTGGTAATAGAAGAGCAAGGGAATTTACTTTCTTTGCCATTAGATGATAAAGATCTCACATGGTGTCTTTCCTGCCTGGAGATGAGGGTATATTTTTCCAGATCATAATTACAAACACTAGAACATTCTCAGCAAAATGCTCAGCCGAGTTCAAAGCAACACACACACAAAAGGCTTTTTCCTCATTTATTTTTGTCATACTACTAATTTAATTTTTAAGCAATACTAATTTCATGTTAAGGAATCTCCATACTGTTTTCCATAATGGCTAAAATAATTCTTATTACCATCAACAGTGTGTGAGAGCTCCCCTTTCTTCACATCCTCCTCAGCAGTTATTACTTTTTGTCTTTTTGTAATAACAATTATAATAAGGGTGAGCTTCTATCTCATTGTGCTTTTGAATTTATTTTATTTGACAGATAGAGTTAGTGAAAGAGAGAGACAGAGAGAAAGGTCATCCTTCCGTTGGTTCACCCCCCAAATGACCACTACGGCCAGAGCTACGAAGCCAGGAGCCAGTTGCTTCCTCCTGGTCTCCCACGTGGGTGCAGGAGCCCAAGCACCTGGGCCATCCTCCACTGCCCTCCTGGCCACAGCAGAGAGCTGGCCTGGAAGAGGAGCAACCGGGACTATAACTCAGTGCCCATATGGGATGCTGGTGCCTCAGGCAGCGGATTAACCAAGTGAGCCATGGCACCAGCCCCTCATTGTGCTTTTGATTTGCATTTTTCAAATGCCTAGGGATATTATGTATTTGTTCTTATATTTATTGCCCACTGTATTTCATCTCTTGCAAAATGTCTATGCAAGTCCTTTGCCTATTTATTTAATGGGTTTATTCATTTTTTAAAAAGTTTGTTATATATTCTGGATATTAATCCTTTTTTGGACAACTAATTTGCCAATAAGTATTTTCTGTTGTTCTATTGCAAGTCTCTTTCAGTCCATTGATTGTTTCCTTTGTTGTGCAGAAGATTCTGAGTTTGACATACTCCTATTTGTCTCATTTTGCTTTTGTTTTCTGTGCTATTAAGATAGTATCCAAAAAACTCACTACCTACATCTGTTTCTTGAAGTATTTTCCCTTTGTTTTCTTACAGCAATTTCATGGTGTCAGGCTATTACATTTAGATGTTTGATCCATCTTAATTTTTATATTCAGTGAGAGGTAGTGAAATAATTTCATTTTTTCCTACATATGTATATCCAGTTTTCCAGTAATCCTACTACTAGGTATATAGCCAAAAGATATGAAATCATTATATCAAAGATAGACTTGTATCACCATGATTATTATAGAACTATTAACAATAGCCAAGATATAGATGGGTGTCCATCATCAGCTGAATGGATTAAAAATTGTGGCAGTTATACAAAATGAAATGTTAGTTATAAAAGCAATAAAATCCTCCCTGACCTGTGCAGGCCTCTGCTACAGGGGTGATGGCCGGTCCTGGTGTTTAGGTGATTCCCAAGGCCCAGCAAGGGACCAAGTTTCCAGAGCCCTGAAGACAGAGGGTAACACACCCAACTAGGGGCTTCATTTCCGCTCCACCTTCATTGGCCGAGCCACCGCCAAGAACAGAGGCCGCATCTCCCCATACCTGGCCAACAAATGCAGTGTTGCCTCACAAATCCATTGCTTCTCTGAGGTACCCACAAGTGTATTTGGGGCGAAGCTACGAGAACAAGCTGAGGAGTGGCTGATCATCTATGAGGCTGGAGAGATTCCACGGAATCTCTGAGGGAAGCATGGTTCAGGCGGAGCCGGCGGCTGCGGAGGTCACCAGGAAGCAGGAGAAGAAACGCATGAAGAAGGAAAAGCAGCGCCTGGCGGCGCTCGCCCTGGCGTCATCGGGGAACAGCCCCAGCGCCCCGGAGGAGTGCGAGGAGGCGCCGGAGAAACCCGGAAAGAAGCAAAAGCAGACGCCCCAGCAGGCTCCTCAGAATGGGATAGACTGGCAAGAGCAGTGCCGAGAAAAAAACAAAAACAAAAACAAAAAAACCTCCATCGAGCATCCCAGGAAGACTGACTAGCACAGACATTCCCTGCACCTGCGAGGGGTATCCTTTCCCGCCCTGTGTCCTCACCCCAATAAAAACGATACAAAATGCTAAAAAAAAAAAAAAAGGGGGCAATAAAATTTTGTTATTCACAAAATTGGTACCCGGAAGAGCCTGGGTTAGAATCATAGTCTCCTGAGTCTGCAAGAATAGGTTATTTTGTCTTTTGCTTCCATGATCAGTATAGTAGTAGGCTATTGGCCCCAAAATATGCAGACATTTCACAAAGTTCATGGTAAATGGAATAAAAAGATAAGTTTATTTTGGTGCAAAAAATACTTTGAATTCTGTGCATTTGAAGGGTATTCAAGTAGTTCATGGTAAATTTGTATTTAAAAAAAATGATGGATTTAAAAAAAAAATTTGTACCAAAATAAAAATCTGAATTCCTTTTTTTCCCACAAATTTTGTGAAGACAGTATGATCACCGTGACAGATGTTGGATTGATATGGACATAAATCAAAAAAAGTGTCAAAGAATGTCAGTAGCATCCACAAGCTGGAAAACTAAAGGAAAATAGTTTTCCCTACAGCCTCCAAGGGAATGTAGCCCAACTCACACCTTGATGTAAGGATAGAGGCATTGATTTTGGACTTCTGGCATTTAGAGCTGAGAAAGAATAAATTTATGTTGTTGAAAACATAAAACAGTAAATCTTTTTTAACTTGTTACAGCAGCAACAGGAACTAACCCAAATGCCCTCTGTGTTTGCTCATATTCTCATCTAAGTTCCTCTTTGCTGTGCCTACCGGAAGCCTCACCACCTGCAAGTTTTCTATGCCATCATTTCTGAGACTTGTGGTCATGTTCCCTTACTGATTCAACATTACCTTATTCTCATTCTTTTCACCTCTTCTGCCATCATGCCTGACCTCATCAGCATCCATGAGTCCTTCCAATAATCTGATTTCTATTAGTGCCCTAGAACACAGCCTTCTGCTTATTCAAGGAACTTCCTTCTGAAATTCCCTTTCCCTCCAGCTTAGGCATCAACTTGTTTCTATCTGTATATGAAAATCCAGTAAATTCTACTTCCTGATAACAACAAACGCCTTGGAACCTCATATCCCCAACCCAGAACTGCTTTGGTTCTCTACTTCCATTATAGCAAGGATTTGTGGAAGTTGTCTATACATACCTCAATCCTATTATCTTTGTGCTTACATTTTACAGAAGCAACATGTATCAAAGTCCTTAAGAGTCCCCTTTCTTGTTCTCATGGTCAATTGTTGCTCCCTGTTTCAGCTGTCTTCTTAATAGCATTCCACAAAGCAGATTACTTTTTTTATCCTTGAATAATTTCCTTTTCTTAACTTCTCAAAGACTTTGCTTTCCTGATTTTCTTTTTCCTTAACTGATTTCTTATTATTGTATTTCTTGCTGGTTTCTCTTTTTCCTCTGAATCTCTTGATTATTGCCTATGCTATCTCATTAGGTCATATCACCTAGTACCATGAATTTATTGTCCATGCCAATCACTTCAGATTTCCATTTACAGCCTGTACATTTTTTGATACCCTACTTATTTCATCTAATTGTATACTGATAAAAATGTTGCATTTCTAAAGTATATCACTCTTAAAATGTAAATTTGAACTTTTGATTCTCTGCTGTTATCATATACCAACACGGTGCCACCATCATCTTGCCATCTCAGTTAATGTTACCACTGCTGAAGCCCAAGATTCAGAGTTATATTTCTTGTATCCATTTCCCTTGCTCATCTGCCCTAAATGACAAGTCTTTTTGTCAGCTATTCTACCCCTGTGGATGATGGGATCCCCTGTTGCAACTTAACTCCAGCATCAGTCACCTAGACTGTTAGCAACTCCTTTTAACTGGGTGCTCTGCCTTCACTAGTTCCTACCCTAACAGTCCGTTGTTTGTGCATCAGTGCTATGAGTCTTTAAAATGCTAACCGGATCATGTTTCTTTTATGTTTATAATTATCCAGTGGCTTTCCATTCCACATCTAAAATCTAACCCTTTTATGAAGGTCTGTGAAATCATCTATGATTTGTCTGTGCTTACTTGTATGATATTTCTCTCCTCCTGTCCCTCCACAGTGCTCTAATCCCATGGATCTTTCCTCTGTTTATACAAAATCAGTTAGCTTCTTAATTTCCCGTTACCTTGCACTGTAGTTCTTGTCAACCCATAAACCACTCTTGTTTGGGTTTTTTTTCATCACTGAGGAATTCACCAAGTGCTGTCTCCTCTTGAGAAAGTTTTCCTGCTCACGTTATCTAATCTTTAGGAAATGAATTTTCTCAGTTTGCCACAATCAATTTTTCAAGTTGCCAAATGAATATATATATTGACAAGTCTCTGTCTCTGTCTCTCTCTCTCTCTCTCTCTCTCTCTCTCTCTGTGTGTGTGTGTGTGTGTATGAGCATATGTGGTAAATTCAGAAAGTCCCATAATAGCGATAGATTAATGAGAAAACTTTCATTGTTATTTAATGAATTGATTACAAATTGTCATGAAAACTACCCTATCAGTTGCTCTTCTCAGTTCTCTCTTTTTACTTTATGATACTTACTATAATAGTAAATCATTTACTTATTTACTTATTTTATCCTTTGCCTTCTGCTCAAAGTATTATGAGAATCTAAGTATTATGAGAATAGAAACTTGTAAAGTTTGTTCAGCTTTAGCTGCAAGCTATAGAATAAGTCTTCAAAAATATTGATTGAATGGATGAATGAAGAAATCAGTATAATACAAAACTAGATTTGAATATATTGACTAAGGAATGGGCAATGTGCCATGGCAGCCAAAAGTACAGAAAATATCATTTTCTTCAGATGACAAAAAGAGAAAATGAGGGTAGGAATTCTGAGGTGGTAGAGTAAAAATATTTATTTATTTAAGCAAATTTAGAATGTAAAACTTAACCAAAAGGGTAAACACAAAAGAGAAAGCAAGGACTATCAGTGAAGGATAATGATCTACTTGTTCTATTAAAAATAGATTTTATAAATTATTAAACTAATTTGTATAGATATTTATATTATTGGATTGTATTTCTGAGTCCATTTGAAAGACATTAAGAAAATTTGATATAAAATCTTTGCCCCAAATGATAGATGAAACATTTTACAGTTAGTGGTTTGGCACTGATTTTATCTGGTACATGTGTGCTTAACTGAATTAAAACTTTACTTAAATAATCTATTGATTTTCAGAATATAAATGATTATAAGCTAATATTAGAAATAAATATGATGCAATATAATGACCAAATTAATGAAGACAGAAATGAGGAAGATGAAAAGTCCAGAAAGCATTTTCAATGTAGTCCTTGTCCTCAGAGACTGGATTAATTACCACTATTCTAATTCTTGGTGATACGGATTTATATTCCATTTGCTATTTATATGTTTAGATGAGTGATTTTTAAAGAAATATGTCACACTACATAATATTAAAAATATGCTATTCAATTAATATATCACAAAACTTGTATATTTTCATCCTGGAGGAAATTAAGGAGATGTGCAAATATAAAGGAAGAATTCAATAGAAACACTGATAGGATAAAGACCTAAGTACTCGAGTCTCTTATTTGAACGTGCTAACCACTTTTGGGCAGGCATTTGGCATGACTGTTAAGCTGTTATTTGAGATGCCTGTGCCCCACCTCTGGAGTACCTGAATAAAAGTCCTGGATCTGCTCGTGATTCCCGCTTTCTGCTAATGCATACCCTGGGTGGCAGCTGGTGATGGCTGAAGTGTTTGGGTTCCTGACACATGTGGGAGATGTGGGTTGTGATCTTGGTTTCTGGCTTTGACCCAAGCCCAGCCCTGGCCATTGCAGGCATTTGAGTGACCTGGCAGATGGGAGTTCTGTCTCTTTATCTTTCAAATAAAATAAATAAATAAAATTTTAAATATCCTGTCTTCAGAGTGGCTATAATTATCCTCTGATAATTAAAGGAATTATAAAATATCCTATAAAAGTATTGGAAAGCATTTTTCCCAAGAAGAGATGTAATTAACATTCACTGTAATGTATATGGTAAAAACTGATTGAGAAATTACTCTAAAATTTCTTATTTTTGTTTTCATCTGTTTTTAGTTTAATAAAGAGAGATACACAGTTTCAAGCAAAAGTATTTGTAAAGGAGCAGAGTAGTAATGACTCATCTGTTAAATGACATCAGCTGTGACTTGGATTGTAGCACACAGAAGTATAAATCCATGTTGAAAGTTCCTCTCCAACCAAGATATACAACTATAAAATCATCAATTTTCCATGGCTTATATGATTTAATCTTTTTCATCTATTTCATTGCTATATTTAATGATATATGCGACCTTAAATTATAATTGATACTTCAATTTCATATCTTCAAATGTTCATATATAAAAATAATAAAAAATATGAAAAGGATCATAAAAT